AAAAAAGATTATGTTCTACGTACGTGCTAACTTCAACAGAACTGGGATCATTCTCAACATAATATTTCAATAATTTGATAGTAAATATACAGTGTGATCTTGAACTTCTTGCATTTAAAGCAGTTGCAGCTACTTTCAAATTATATTGTCCTGCCATTAAAACTTGATAAGCTTCAGAACCAGAATTCACACAAACAGTCTTTAAGCCTTTGATAAATGCCCTCCCTTGACTGTCTGTAGCTAATTTAAGAGGTGTTCTCTTTTTCTGAGTCTCGTTTGACAAAAGATCATACACAATTTCATTATAAATTTCAGCAAAAGAAACCCAGACAGAATAGTGCGCGTCAATGCACTGACTAGGTCTAATAGATGATTCTTCTTGCAACAATTTTTGCATTTCTACATAAGCATTAATGTATTGATATTTGTCTATAGACAAAAGTGTTAATAACTTGGTTTTTATTTCTAATTCTTGAGCACGCTCAAGAGGATCCAAAACAACAACATCACAGTGATTTATAGGTTTATAAGAAGGCATAGACTTTGGTGTAATATTTGAAAACACAAATTCTAAACATCTTGGTATTATGCCAGGAGATGTAGTAGTTCCTTGTAATGTATAAGATTTTCCAGAATTTGTAGTACCTACAAAATTACATTAAAATGATTTAAAATATTACATAATGTATTAATTTAATTGTAAAATACATTTTAATTATGTTTACCATAAGTCATAATAGTAGAATTTTGTCCATCTAAAAACTCTATCATTTGTTGCTTCACAGCTTGTTCAAATAACTGTAACTGAGTAGTTTCTGGTCCAAAGGTTTTGGTAAATGTAAATTTTCTACACACAATATCCGTACTATTGGATCTCTTGAGACAACTGGTATTATTATCTAATGTAGGCAATCTTGTAAATAAAGTAGTTGAATTGATAATTTTATATGCATTTTGTTGCTCTTCAGACAATTTTAACTTTTTAGGAAATGGTTTCATTCGTAGGTATACTTTAACCGTTTGTAAAATTTCTGATTCTGAATTCAAAGAACCACTTTGTGCAGCGTAATTGCATTCTTCACTCTCAGTCTCTGCTTCAGTTTCGTAGACAGAAAGTAAATTTTTTTTGGTTTCTTTTGAAACACAGATTCTCCGTCCATAAGCTAATATACTAGGATCTCTTCCAAATAAGTACGACATGTCATCCTGAGTATTAGCATAAGACTGTCTAGCGGAATCTAATGTATTCTCCATCTATGAACGTTTAAAATATACGTCATTTTTTTATATTAATCTTTATAACGTTGAAAATGAAAATTTTATTCATGATTACATTTTCGATTAATTATATCACACTGAAGATAAAATATTTTTGCATATCTTTACATAAATCTTATTTAAATGTTTGCAAATTACAAGAAAAATTAAACCTTCTACCACCACGTATTACTCGATATAAATTTTATTTTTAAATAAACTGACAACCTGTTAAATATCTTAAATACGCACCTTTTACTGTAGATCTATGATAGCTACTTACAAAACATAAATAAATCAAACATTACCGTGCATCTTTTTTTCACACCACGCTTATGAATCCACGGCAAACGGTTAGTACTTTATTTTGAAATTTTGTCAGAAGAATACTTTCTTCGGATTGGCAGAATTTTCCATGGATGTATTATTACCGCGCATATCACATAACCAATAAAAATTAAGACATTGTTTTCAAGACCAATAAGAATCAAGATATAAAACGCTATATTCTGATTTGACAAAGCGTACATAGCTAGTATTTAAAAATTTATTTAACAAAAACATTTATATTTAAGAAACATTAATTAAACATTAATTTTATTGTATTAAAAACATGTAAATTATTAGGTAATAATTATTAGGTAATATTTATATGATCATATTTACACAGTCTGAATTGCTGAATTAAATAAAATAATTGTAATAAACCTATAACCACATTATTAAAATAAATCTTTATTACATTCATATAAATATTTACAGATCTCAAATTAAACGCATATATACATGTAGCAATTACTCTCTTTCTTCTGTTACATTTATAATAACTTTAGGAATAAAAAATATATGTTTTGGACATTCAAAGAAGTCCAAAATCATTAAAAATTATTTAAATGAACGATGTTAGAGGAAAACTTAATTATAATTGTTCTATAGAACATATGCATAAATTATAAAATATTAAAAACATACTTATTTATAGAAAAGAAGTATCATCAATATAGGAATACTAACGAGAGTTCATAAGTCTTTTGTTGCACCTATGAAATATTTCACGCACCATTATTGACTTGTGTATCACGTTTCATGTTACATGTAAAAAAAATATGTGGTCCTATAGTATCCACATTGGAGTATTTAATCATTTGAATAAAAAATGAAATTACAAGTAAAAATGAATGACTTTTTCCAAAGTACATCAACACAGTTATTTTTCTACAGTTTTATGCCTTTTATGTTTTACATATTTTAATTGCTATTTTTTTTCAATTCGAGTGAATCATTTATTATTTAACAATAGAGAGCAATTCTTGCAAATATTTTCTATCTAATTTCCTCTCCATCACAAGCTGGTAATTTTAAATTGTTTTCAAATGGCAATACCATTTAACGAGTTTTAAAATTAATACAATAATCGTAATGTCAAGATTCGTATTTTAAAATGTCTTTTAAATCATCTGGCAATGTATGCGTAATGTCGTTTATTCTTTCTTGAAGCTTTACTCTCACAGAATTATCTATAGGTACTTCATCAATATAAGTCTTTTCTAATTTCTGCCGAATTCTAAGAATCATATCTACCAATTCTACCTCTTGTTTTCCTTGCACCCAGGTTTTTAGATCCTATAATAATAGTAATTTGTTTAAAGAATAAAAACAAAAAGAAAAATAAATGCGAAAAAACAGACCAAAATTTTATTTTAAACATACCGCTTGCGATAATGCCTCAAGTTGTATGACTTCTAACTTTTGTGATAACTCTGTATGTCTAGTATAAAACCAACCGGAGAAGTTAGGTGAACGAAAAAATCGTCGATACAATCCTACCCAATCTCCTTTTATGCCTGTTGTTAATTGTGGTCCAGCACTGCTTAAAGTTGCTAGGAAATCGTCTGGATTAAATAATTCAGGTATAGGAGTAGCCTAAAATAATTATATAAATTATATATTTCATAATTCTATCTGTTCAAAATATATAGCAGACAAAATGACAGTTACTTTAAAAGGTGATATGTCTTTCTGTAATGGCATAAGACTTGCAATATATCTTTCAAGAGGTATCATAAAACTCTCAGTTAATTCTATCAAATGACGTTTTAAAAGAGCTGTTTGTACTTCTCCTGGCCTCTTTGTTTGAATACCTCTAAATAATTTTTTCAATATAGTTTTATCCTTGTGGAGGAAAGGTTTATACTGAGTATAAACTCCTGGTTTTGAATCTAATATTTTAAGATTCTCTGATTTTTTTATTTTGTATCTTTGATTTTCTAAAAATATAAAGAACTTTAACTTAAATACTCTATATATATACCGTTTCATAGAACTTACCATTATTAGTTCCATTACTTATTCTTATAATATGAGGCCAATGCTGTAGAGTTTTGGCAAAAAATGGATTAGTTACACCTAATATTACAGCAGGAGGTGTTGGGGCATCTGTAGTATATTCTTTAAATTCAGAATCATGGATTGTAAAATAAGGTCGATGATCAGCGCAATATTTTAATGGTGCAATCATTCTAAAAAAATAGTAAATCTTTCTATTTTCTATTTTTCTTTTCATGGTTATTTTTACTCACTTACGAAAATTAATAAAATACTCACGCAATAAGTGCTTGGACCATTTCGGAGCAACCAGTAGGTGAACCAGCCATAACAACAATTGGTTCACTAAGTAATACTAATTCCCATAATAAATGTACATAACTTACAACACTGGCTAAACTTCTAAACATATCTCCTTCATAGGCAGATGTTAAAATTAGTCTTCGCGTTTCATGAAAATTTGGCGCATGATCCATGGCAGCAATCGTAGGTGCAGTTGCTTTGTAGTTTTGATTTGGAATATATGTCTAAAATATAAACAATAAAAAATAATACATGGCAAAAATAAGAAAAATTAAAATACAATCTTTACCTGAAACAAAACACCTAAAAGTGGTAGATGCACTATTTGACCAGGTGTTGGAGAAGGCCATCGATCAATTTCTGTTACAATAGCTTCCATCACTTTATTGCCCATTTCAAAAAATTCAGGTGCTATTAAAGCACACAATTCACCAAAGAGATTCACAAATGGCAGTTTTGTAATTATAACAATACTCTAGAATATAAATAAAATTATTACTTATGCTTCAAAATTTACATTTTTACTATTTCAATATATGAAATAAACCTTTTGAAAATATCCTCTTGGAAGAGACTTGTCTTTCACTTGACGGAAGTATACATAACCCCAGTAATAATCTCTATCACATTGTAAAAATGGAGGTGATCTCCTGTCATATTCTTTTAAGGCTTTAGTTTCCTGAAGAATTGCTCCGCTCTGTCTTATTCTGACATGATATTGTGTATCTCCCATACAACCAGAGTTAGAATCAGGAAAAGCAAGATAACAAATGTTAGATCTCTCTTGTTCAGATAGTTTGATATGAGACGGATATATAGCCTATATAATAAAACAGATATCATTAAAAATGCAGAATGTTTATAAATAAATAACTGTGTTAAAAATTAAATATAAAATATAGTAAAAAAGTACCTCTATAGCTTGGCCTAATTCAAGATCAAAAGTAACAATACATATACAATGTACCCAATTATGAAAACGTTCCCATTTTTCATATATCGTTTCCTCTTGGCTACTTATAGTATCCATTCTCCTAGTTTTCGAACAGGAGGCAACTGACATTTTATAAGAACTTGGTTAACATAACCACATACATATGTTAGAGGACATGTCACTTGCTGTCTTACTAAATGACAGAAGGTTTAAAAGCTTCTATTTAACTTGTAATTTAATATGTGTATGTTATAACTCTTATAAAAGAATTTTTGTGTCTGAAAAGTTATTGTAAACATTGTTAATTTATGACAATATGTTAGTTTATACATTTGGCAATAAAAAACTTACAGCTTTGTTTAAGATACACATTATTCTGTGCCTCTGGATTGAAATTGTTTTCTAAGTAGATTTTCTCTTGATTTCAATAATTTCATAATTATTCATAACTTCAGGATATATATGTACATATATAATTTTTACCCTGTTTAATGATATCTAGAAATATTTAATCCACTTCTACACTTTGTTTACTATTATTGAGCGCAGGAAGCAAAATGTGGGGAAAATGTTAATTGAAGAATGAAAAAAACTCAGGTATCAAAAACACGAGGGTTATTACATGTACACTTATTTCATTATTGTTTACTATTTACACACAGTTGTTAAAATGCCCACGTGTTTTCCATCTTGTGATAATAATAATCTGCCAAACATGTTAGTTGGACTTCGAAAAAAACGATCGTGTGGCAATGAGGACGTTCATAGATTACGTTTGCACCGGTACTTTTCTTCAATGACGGTATATTCGTGTGTACGTAGTCGACGTTCGAGCTCGCTTTATTGGAGAAAGTCTTCATAATGCTCGGTATCTATAACGATAGTTATAACCTCTAAAACCAAACATGTACGTACTTTCAGATATTTGACTTATCTGAGCACGTCAATTCTGTCAGATAACATCAGGCCGAAGATATACTGTTTGTATACAGATTACAATTAGTGCAATTTTACCTCACACTTCAGTCACAAGACATTTGCTTACTTCCCTATGCCTCTAACATTTAACCATAGCGGTACTGACGCTCAGCTTGAGTCATAAACTTATCTACATATGTAATATACAAATCTCAACAGAGGACACAAATTTGTTCTTGTAATATTCATGCTTAAAAATATTGAAAAATATTTGTTTTGTCTTACAATACAAGATTATTTTATCTTTTTCTTTTCAGCTGCATTATATTTTGATTAATATTATATCTTATTATATTTTAATAATTTATTTAATAATTTCTTTAT